TATTAATCAAAAACGTTAAACATTAATATTCTGGACAGTTAGTAAAAATCTTTTGTTCGAAACATAAATGCGGTAAGTATATTTTCGTATATTGCAATTTTTCAAATTCAAAATACAAAATGTATATATAAAGTAAATAATATATATATATATATATATATATATATATTATATATATATATATATATAAGTGTGTGTATATATATATATATATATATATATATACACACATAGATATATATATATATATATATATATATATATATATATATATATATATATACATAAATATACATATGTGTGTGTGTATATATATATATATATATATATATATATATATATATATATATATATATATATATATATATTTTCTAGTTTTATTAAGGTGATGTGATATTCTAACATTCTAAGCACAATCTAGTTTGTTATTTTTTAACAAAATACATGGGTAATGTAATATTCTAAACATGTAACAGTGTATTTTTTAATTTTATTAAAGTTATATGATATTCTAACATTCTAAGCACTATCAAGAAAGTTGTTTATTAACAAAATACATGGGTGATGTAATATTCTAAACATGTAATAGTGTATTTTCTAGTTTTATTAAGGTGATGTGATGTTCTAACATTCTAAGCACAATTTAGAATATTGTCTTTTAACAAAATACATGGGTGATGTGATATTCTAAACATGTAATAGTGTATTTTTTAGTTTAATTAAGGTGATGTGATATTCTAACATTTTAAGCACTATCAAGAAAGTTGTTTATTAACAAAATACATGGGTGATGTAATATTCTAAACATGCAATAGTGTAATTTCTAATTTTATTAAGGTGATGTGATATTCTAACATTCTAACCACTATCTAGTTTGTTATTTTTTAACAAAATACATGGGTGATGTGATATTCTAAACATGTAATAGTGTATTTTCTAGTTTTATTAAGGTGATGCGATATTGTAACATTCTAAGCACTATCTAGTAAGTTGTTTATTAACAAAATACATGGTTGATGTAATATTCTAAACATGTAATAGTGTATTTTCTAGTTTTATTAAGGTGATGTGATATTCTAACTTTTTAAGCACTATCCAGTATGTTGTTTTTCAACAAAATACATTGGTGATGTAATATTCTAAACTTCAAATAGTGTATATTTTAATTTTATTAAGGTGATGTGATATTCTAACATTCTAAGCACAATCTAGTTTGTTCTTTTTTAACAAAATACATGGGTGATGTGATATTCTAAACATGTAATAGTGTTTTTTCTAGTTTTATTAAGGTAATGTAATATTCTAACATTCTAAGCACTATCCAGTATGTTGTTTTTTAACAAAATACATGGGTGATGTAATATTCTAAACATATAATACTTATAGCATGCCATATATTTCTTAATTTATTTAAGGCAATGTGATATTCTAAGCATTAAATACAAATAATTTTTATAACATTAATGAACAATATACATGGGGGATGTGATATTCAAAATATTTGTTTCTTATAGTGTGTAATATATTTCCTAATTATAATAAGGAAATATCATATTCTAAGTTTTTAAACTAATTAGTATGATATTTATAAACAAAGTACATGGGGGATTTGATATTGTTAACATACAGTGATAGTTAGTGATATACTTCTTAATTAATTTGCTGGATGTGATGTTTTATAGTTCATAGCAGAAAATACAAATAATTTTTATGTCATATATAAACAATACATATGTGGGGTGTGACGTTTTAAGTAATGTAAAACTGTTAGTTGACAATAGATTTCTTATTTACATCTAAGATTCAAAGCAGCAAATAAGACTAACTATGAAATTTTTAAACAATATACATTGGAATTGTGGTATTTTATATATATAACATATATAACACTGGTAGTACATAAGAGGGTACGACATTCTAAACATATTAATAGTTAGTGGTATAATTCTTAGTTAAACTAATGGAGTGTAATATTCTAAGCAGCAAATTTGACTATGACATTTATAAACAATATACATAGGGGATGTGTGTCTAAACATAATACTATAATATGCGTTATATCTCTTAATTTTATTATGAGAGGAGATTTATTAGGATAGTATTCTAAGATGCTACTCTAAGAGATTTATTAGAATAATATTCTTTTTTTAGGTTTCTTCTTGTTGTCCCTGGCCACTAGCATTATGTTTTGTTGCATGTTATCAGACTTGTATGGTCACTACTTTTGAAGCCTTTCTGACTGAACAATACCCAGCTGTTTGTCATCAATGCCATCTATATCATGTGAGTAACACTGACTGCTATCACTTTTAAAAAAAACAGTTAGTTAAAGTCTTCTTCAATCTGTTTCACTCGTAAGATATTCTGTATATATTTTCTTATATATATTAAAGTAAATTTAGAATATCTTAGCTTTAAGAATATTTATAATTTTTTGCCTGATGTTTTCTTTAAGTATCCCAATCTTCAATTGTAGATTGCAGCTACTAATGAAGTTTGTAGGCGAATACCGTTACTATATCAAGCAGAAACCAAAGCAGTACAATCAGTACTTATTTTTTCAGCACTTATGTTTATCATTATCTTACCCATCCTTCTAAACCAAATATGTTTATTCTTATCCAAATATTCTCCATCCTCCTAAACCAAATATATTTGTTCTCTACTGATTTCTAGAATGATTGCTTCTGTAATATACACGTTTCTTTACTGTTATACATGTTTCTGTAATTTCTGGTCAAAGTAGAACTTATTATTCTCCACATTGACATTCTGTTCAAAAACAAAAGTGTTCTCCATAAGTTTCTTTAATTTTTACTAAACTGTTTAATAAGTGCTTGACTAAATCTAAATCTTGACACCTGTCCCCTCCAACTGCTATCCAGTCAGTCTACTCTCTATTATAAGCAAAGTCTTTGACAATTGATCAACAAATTTCTAACATTCCAACTTGAGTCTAAGATTTTACTCCCTGACAATCATTATGGTTTTTGAACTTCTTGTTTTAAGGCCGACTTGCTAACTGTAATGGCATGCTGGTCTTCTCCATAAGCTTGCTTCATGTGACGTATCTGAGAAAGTTTTTGAGGTTATCAAATCATTTCTTTCTAATTGTTTTATTAATGTCATCCTCGAAGGCTAACACTCTTCTTCGTTTACAGTACCTTCTGGAGTACCTAAAATGGTTATACTTGGTCCTGTGTTATTTTTTATCTACATTAACGATCTTCCTGACAATCTTACATCTAAAGTGGCTCTATTTGTTGATAAATAAACTTTATACCCCTGTCTAAATAAAAAAACTTATCTCACTTTTGTAACTGCTTGGGGCTTGTAGTGCCTTTTGAATTTTAACTTCAACAAAACTCAGTTGCTTACTTCAACCTAACTCCAATAGTGGTAAAATTGCATTTCCTTCTATTTTCTACAAATGCTTGCTGCTCAAAGGAGCTATCATCTTTAGTTCCATTAACCAAAACTCATTCTCGATTGAATCGTCATTCAGCAAAGTCGCATTTTACTGTATCTGTTCCTGCATGTTCTAAAAATTATATAAACTATTTGTTTATTTTTTTTTCTTCGGACTGTATTTATCACAGTCTAATTATTTAAAAAATTGATTATATATTCTGTATTTTATTGAAGTATATCTTTTATTTAGATTTAGTACGAATCAGCAGTGAACTTATGATACAGAAATTATCAAACAAGTTTGAAGACTGAAAACTTTGATACACTCAAAAAGTCACTTTTCAAGTTTAATTATTTCCTTTCGAAATTAAATATACAATCAAGTCCAAATTAGAGTCACAAAGTAAATTTAACTTTCTTAAAGCAATATTTTAAATAAAAAAATTTAGAAGAAAACTTGTGATTGTTGTGTTGTTTCTTCTTCCTATAAATTAACCTTATTATTTAGCAACTAAATTTTCTTTTTAATTTATAATGTATTTTAAAAAAAAAATTTGAAAGAAAAATGTTGTAATTTATAATATTAAAAAAAAAGAACATGCTAAAACTTTTCTATATTATCTAACTTGTTTTTTTATTATTATTTTGCTTGCATCTCTTGTTATGAATTAAGAAGTATTAATCAAGGAAGAAGAGTATATAATACTTTTTGTAACATAAGTATACTTTTTGAAATATTAAGTGAAATTGAGCTTCATAAACATAAAGACTGTTCTTCTCTCATTTCGGTTTTATAAACTTATTGCTCAGGATAACTAATTAGACGCTGATATAAAAGGAATTAATGAGAATAAAATCAGCATGCAAAAACTTTTTGTTTTATCTTTTTTTTATTATTGTAAATGCTTACTCGACAGTTTCATTAGGCTTTTTTAAAATCATTTTCGTAAATCGTCTTTTAGCTTGTAATCTTAATCTGCCTAATTAAAGGCGCCAAAAAAATTAGGCACCTTTTTTTTTTGACTAACTCAAACTATTAACCTGAGCAACATTCTAACTCAACTCAAACTATTAACCTGAGCAACATTCAAAGCAACTGTGGAACATAGTAACTTTTAATCTTGTTAAAAAGCAAAGAAATTCTAGGTATAAGATTAAAAAATAAAAATCGGTAAACGACTATGTATTTAATATATCAAAGTTTTTTCGCTTTTACCCAGCCAGCAAAAAATAATTGGCCCAATGTTGGCCCAATGCATTGACTTGCATTGGCACAATGTTGGAATAATGCGTTGGACCAATACCGGAGTGATCATTGGCGCAAGGTACGACCAATGCTCATTGGCCATTGCTAAAAACAACGTTTAGCCAATGTTATAATTATACGTTAAGTATGTTTAAAATATGTTAACCCAATATTCAAAAAACGTAATTTTAGCAATGCTAAAATTATGATTTTATTTTACTTGAATTACATTACAGCCAAAACAAAACTTGATTCAATAAAGAGAAACAAGTCAATAAAGTATTCAATGATGTGATGTGATTACCCCGATTTAAATTAAACAAATTGAGAAAATAGTCTGTAGTTAACGTATGCTTAAATATTTCATCAGAATAAACCGTTAAACTATATAATTTTTACTATAAGTTATAACAATTGATTGTCTCGAATTAAATTTTTTTGGAGTGATCGTTTACTCCCTCGTTCTGGATCATTTCTGCCTCCTTCGCGGTCGCAGGACTGCCTAAGCCAAATCTTGACAAGTTGTTCAACACTTGAAGTAGTGACGTCACTCAATAACTTGTTCTTCTTAACAACACCTGAAAAGAAAAGGAAAATTAAATCCTCATTTAACTACTTAGGTAGTAATTACTATTAAGAAAATATTTATCTCTAAATTTATTTTTTTGGTTGGTATCGGGACAGCAAAAAAAATTTATTAGTTATATTTAACAAAAATAATACTTCCACCATAACAACTTAAAAAATTAAGTTTCATTATTTTAGTTTCCACACGTATAGCCGTAGAAACTAAAATTTTAGTTTACATATGTACAGATTTTTTATGACCAAAGTATTTAAAATTCAATTATAAAAGTCAATTATAGACTTACTGACAATAAGAGAAGTTATTTTCATGTTGCCGATTCCAACTTTTCCACCCCTTATCGGCAAAGTTTAATTGCAACGATAACCCTTTTGAGAAAAGTGTTCTCAACAATCTACGCGTTGTATCACCAATATTTCTTCCACCAATTTGAGCAAGATGATTAACCTTGATTAACATATTTAATATAATTAACCCTAATTAACCTTATGTCAACTGAATAATAATTAACTAATCATTTAATAAGTTAATTAGCCTACATTTAAGATAATTGCATGCCGTTGCATGCTACATTTTACTAAATTTGCATGCTATTTCTTTATAACGTTGCATGCTTTTGCATACTCCTATATAACAATTTGCATGTCTTTGTATGCTTTCAAAAACTTTTTATTAATCATAGAAACATGATAATGATTTTTGAATTACAAAAAACTAAAAAATACTTCAAAAACTTCAAAAATTAAAAAATACATCAAAACAAATAAAAAATGTTTTGCATACCGAATGGGAACCCTGAAATATGTAAAACCAGCCCTCAGAATAAGGGTCGGCATTCGGCAATGCCGACCTAACTGTGTTTGAGGTTGGTATAACTAAAAGTGTTTGAGGTCGGCATAAAATCCCCGACCTCCTTTCTATGTTTTATAGTTTGACCTTTGTGTCAAAAATTTTTTGCCGACCTGATGCTGACCTCTAACAGTTTAAGGTCGGCAGTTTATTGGCGAGTTCATTTTTTTTTATTCTAAGGGCTGATAAAATATATAAATATGTATAAAATATAGTAGAACATATATACATTCAAATAAACCAACATCAAAATTATGGAAATAACATACTAATAACTTGAAAGTGCTATTTTCTTTTAGTTTCTCATCAAAATCTTTTAATTCTTGTATACAATCAAGAGGAAGATTTATGCCTTCAGGCAAAGTATCATAACTTTTATGCTGAGTTACAGCATTAAGGATTGAATTCAAAATTTGTGAATGCATGGCCTGCTTTGTCTCTATTGATGCAAGTCTGCTTAGAATCACATGCAGATCTTTTGGAAGTATTCCTAAAGTTTTGAAAAATATTAAAATTTTAAATATTTAAATCTTATGGTTATTATATAAAGCAATTATATAAAACTACTTTTTTGTATAGTTTTTTGCACAAAAAAAAAGGCAAAATTTAAATAAAATTAAAATTTCAGCATTTTCATTCAAAAAAGGGATTAATAATATTTATAACAATTTCAAAGATAAGGTGGAATATAATCGATTAAACAACTCATCAAAATGAAACCTTTTTTCATTTTCTTTGTAAAAAATATAATAAAATTTTTATTTCTTAACATGCATTGAAATTTCTATTATTGTTTAGAATTTTGCAAATTCCATTTCAAATAACAAACTAGTAAAAGTAGTATTAACTACAGAACTTTAGCATATTATATTCTAAAACTTTAGCATATTAGGCAGCAAAAAATAATACCTGAGATTGCATTTGGGGTTGACGGAGATGAATTAGTGATGCTTTTAAATTGGAATACAAACTAAAATTTGGCTGAGCTTGATCAATCAAATTGTCAGTTTCTGGTGATTTAGCTGTGCAAGAATGTATCGTGAAATCTTCATTTTCTTCATCAGACATATTTAACTCCTGATTTCTTTTTTCTGGGAAAGCGATCTCACAACTTGCTAAAAAAAAGACCAATTAAAAAGTTTATTATGTTAGTTTTAAGGAATGATTATGCAAAACAACTCATTGAAAACTTATCAAAGATATTGCATAAAAACTTTGTATATTATACTAGTATAAATACAACCAATTATAATAATGTTATAAATTGCTACTTTATTATAAATTTATTCCCCATTAAATATTCATAAACAACCGTTTAAACAAATTCACAGGATGACAATGTCACATGTGATGCCAAAGAAAAGTTGTGCTTTGTACATATATAACATGTTTATAATATGTGTTTTTT